AACTGGTGCTCGGGGCAAGCTGTCCATGGGAGAAAAGGCATCGTCCAGGCAGTTCACATCAGAAGGGTGGCAGACTGTAGCTACACTGTCGGTCAGTGCTGAAGAGGAGATGAACACAAACATAAACAAAAGCCACTCACACAGTTACAAATAAGAGATACTACCTAACACCTGATTCTTTTTCTCACTTTACCTGTCAGCTCATTGGCAGTGATGGAGTTCAGGATGCTTAGCTGCTGATCCGGGATGGCCTCTGCTCGGTTGCTGGACGTCAGTGCTGAAGAGTGGACTGCTCCTCCAAGTGCTTCTGCTTCATCTACCAAGCGATCCATGTAGTCCCTAGGAGAACACTGCATTTATAATGGGTGTTTTACATGAAAACAAGGCCTAAGATGAAGACGGGTTTGAGCTGCTGCTGCCAATGCGGCTTTACACTGCTAAATTCCAAAGCGATCATAATCTTCAGTAACAATTTACAACAGGAAACACATATTCCAAGAACTTTTTTACTTACGTAACTCCTGGATGATGATTGTATCTCTTCTTTCCAAATCTCGTTTGCTGAGCAAAGTAATCGTAACGTTCTGACTTTTTCCACATGTAGTAAAATGCCACACACTCAGCAACTGTTCTTGTTCTTACCTAACAACAACGATTGATGAAAGAACACAAAGTTGATGAAACAAGAATTGATGAAATAAACACAAAAAAAATTTGTCATCTTACCATTTTCCATATTTCCTTAATACTGTTAGCTTTACTATTCTATGAACTGGACAAAGTCAATTCAGTTACAAGATTTTTTAAGAGATATACAGTTTCAGGTATTTATTACAGCTGTTCCACTGTACTAACCTAGGTTTATGTAGAAAAATAAACATCATATATACACATGAAGCATAAAATTATGTAGGTTATGAATTGAAATACTACACAACAGATTTTCTTAAGGCAAGAAACTCAGCAAATCAACAAACTAAGTGAAATAAAGCAAGAAAGACTTCAAGCACTTTTCCTTTTGGTAAAGTGAGGAACTGTTGAAACTGACAACAAACATGCACACAAGTAAATGATCTAAACAACAAAATAAAATTGTAGCCTTGTGAGCAACTATAACTTAACCTACATTAACCATTTGTTTCATTCCCCAAAATGGAGATTGCTATACAGTGCCAGATTCTTAGAGAACAAACTATTACTACATCCTTACAAAATAGCTATCCTAAGCTCCAGAAATATTTCGAATCATCAACAGGCCACAGTTCTAGCGTAAGTTTTATTGTAAGCTAAAACATGCAACTATATTCAGAGATAGTCTGGCAGGAAACCGTTTACGGTAGGAGTTTTATCAAACTGATAAAACCATCAGGAGCAAAGTCCAAATGTCTTGGATAATAATAAAGAATCTTAATATTAACTCATGTGCTTAATTGCAACTTGTAAAAAAATAGTTAAGTCCTTTTTCGGCATCTCTGCTGAATTACTGTTTTTTAATATGTTTCATTTAAAATACGACAGCAGCATTAGCTGACTTTTGTTCCAACAGTAGCCGCAACCCTATTAAATGTTACCTAAAATATGACAAAAAGTCTCGTCTCCTAAAGATAAAACGCAAGAGGATATCAAAAGGTAAAGGCAATGTACAGAAAATCTGGAAACATCCATTTAAACAGGCTGTCAACTACAGCAAATGACACATATTTTTGATAAAGAATACAATCCCTAGTGTTGAAGGGGAGCAGAGTCAACCAGAAGCAACCCGGATAGAGACCAGGACTCCTTCCTTAGTAAGACACTCGAGTGCTGGTGGATACAGAACCTTCTGTTCTGCAAAAACAGGCACAAGCCTCTTGCTGCAGAATTACACCTCTCTGGTGATCAATCAAAAACAGGTTACATAAAGATGCATTTTTCCCTCCCACAGCCATTGTATGCAAATACTATCTACTATTTCTAGGAGAAGCAGTCTTTTAAACTAAATTACAGTATAAATTCATAAATAAACATGAGTAGATTTCAGAGAAAATACTGACTCATCTGGCAATTCCCATCTTTTACAATGACACATGAGAGAAAAAAAGCACAGAAATGACCAATTGCTTTTAACCCACTGGATCTTTTCTCACTCTTCACCATAGCTTCCGACGTGCACTGCTTTGGCAGGTTTTCGGCCTTATATACTCTATCAACCCTTCTGCTTACCTTGTTTTTCTGTATGAGATGAAAGTCTTTTCCATAAATCAGAAGTGCATGCTCAAAGCTTCTGCATTCTTCTTCCGTCCATGCTGTCATCTCTTCTAGACAATTACAGAAGTTATACAATAAGCTTACTTTCACCAGCTTGACTTTTAAGAGAAACAGCATAAAATATTTGTGCTGCTAATGCACTGAAAATCCAAATGCACTGCAAAAAGAACAATAGCTCAGTTTGGAACTATGTTCTCTCCTCTACAGCACAGATATCCTACTTAAAATATTACATTCTTGTTTAGAAACCACAATTTCTTACTTATAAGTCTTCATAACATTTCTAATGGACAAGTCCAGAGAGCATAGTTCATTTCCTATTCCTTTCTAAATAAATTTGCCATTGAAAATCCAAGATTTGAGAAAAAATGGCACCAAAATAAAGATCTTATTTTTCTGAATGTTTTTTCTAACAGAGAATCCAAACAAAAACTGTCATTGGACAAAAAAAAGTGTAAAGCATCAATCTGTTTTAATAATAGTTCCTAAAATTGAATTTCAGTTTTACAACTGAAAACACACAAAAGGAAGGAATCAATAAGGGGCTCATTTATTTCATGGTCACAGCATGTCATAATATGCTTTACGACAAAATAGCTTAAATTATATGAAAAAAAAAAACAATTTTGTCTCAACTATACTAGGTTTCCCACCTTGATTATGGCTTTATGCCAGGATACAATAAAGGAGGGATATTTCAGTCATCTTAAATTCATAGTGGTGATAGAAAGTTTCTGTTCAACTGACATTTAAAGTCAATGGGGAAAAAAAGCCCACATCATTTCTAAACATTTCTGGAAGCAGATACTGGATACCCTTCTGCTGCCACATGAGGATGATAATCACTAAGCTACAAAAACATTTTTTCTCACCCCATGGATTTTGTACTCTTTTCTACAGAGTTCCCCAGTCCCAAAGAGAAGAGCCATGTAAAGCTCCCAGCTAAGGAATTCTCTTGAGTAATACGCATTTGATCTCTCAGTTTGAGAATAGCACTGAACTTTAGTGGCTAGAGATGTTAGGCACTGACAGCATTATCATCCATTACCCCTTTTCACAAAGGTATTTTAACATACATTATACTTTTTTTCTGAAGTGTGAGTACTAGTTCCTAAGGACAGAATTCAGGGCTCTGAACCACAAATGGATAGAGGTACTTTTTGGTCCTGAACCAGGACTCTGTATCTCAGAGAGGTTTGGGATTTCAGAGAGATCCTTGTGACTGGTATTTCTTTGTTGTTGACCTCTGCGCAATCTCTTCTCACACATGAGCCTTCTGGAACACTATTATCTGCTATGCATTGTCCCCTTCAGCTGTACCATAGACACTTGGCTCTCACAGCACCTACACAGTAAGCACTCAAATCCCCTCTGCATCCAGTACTACAAGGAGTCCTCTATACTGTTTGTACAGGGACTCACAGTTCACTTCAGTTTTATGCAACATGTCTTTGTAGAACATTGGTCAAAACCTCATCTCTGGTAAATGGTGAACTCCATTCTTCACTTTAGGCAGTAATAAAGTTAGAGACAGAAGTTCATTTTCTATTGTAAATTCAAACTCAAGGCCTGCAGAACTACATGAAGGACCCAGTTTAGGTTGGAGCAACTCAATATCTTAACAGTACACTGCAGCACCTGTGCAGCATGGAAGCAAACAGGACTTACCATATAGGCAGGTGTGTTTTCCTTATTCTGGTGAAAATATTGGGAGATTGCAATTGACCACAATCTCAAAAAAAACTGTGCCTTGTGTGAACACAACCATGGCTCCCCTCTCTTGCTCCTCAGTCTGTGACATCTATCCCAGTTCTCACAATAGCAGTGGGGAAAAAGGAAGGGGTAAAAGATCTAAAGGTTGATCCTGCAACCTTTACACAAGTTGCAAATTCCTCTAGCAGGAGTTTCCAGGTGGCCATTAGTCAGAATGTATTTAATTTTGCCAAAAACATCATGCAAAGGGACAAGCTTGTCATTCTAATTCTTACTTAAGTTTTTTCTTTTTTTTTTAACATGCATTTATCTATCTATTTTTCAAACACACATTTCTAAAAAATCAGGTATTCTATCTCTTACCCTGAGATGCCTTTCCATTTGAGCAGTACCTCTCAATTGCTTCTTTAACATTATGGCTACTTTTGAGAAGTTCGTAGAGTGCCTACAAAACAGAAGAAAAGTCTTTTTAAAGAGTCAAGCTTTGCAAATAACCAGTCTAAACTTCTGAAACTAGCCTTTTGGGCATCATGCCTCATGTCAAAATAGGTAATTTATTATTACACATAATGAAAGTTTAAAAAATAAGCAAAAAGAAAACCATCCAAAAGTTGAAACAAAGTAAAATACCATATGCAATTATTAAAAAGTTGAATTTGTTAAGAACATGGCAATAGTAAGAACGTACCTCAGTGCTGCCAATGTTCAAATACCCATAAGCTTAAGCACAGGGTTAAAATTACAAATAAGACTCTGGCCTCATTAACATCTAATTTAAAAAAAAAAAAAGTTCAATATTGTAGTCTTTACAATACAGCAAAAGAAAAAGAATATGTGCTAATTACAAATCACTGTGTCACAAATGGAGCAGAAATACAAAACATACTTGTTCATTGTCCCGTGTATGTATTCCTTCAGGAATTCTGCCAATCATTTTCTCATTTCCTGTTCTTAAAGAGGCTTCAAAAAGGTATTCCTTAACTTTGCTTTCTGAGATCACATCAGGTTTCCAAAGTAAATGGTCTTCATTTTCATAGGCTGTTAAAAGAGAAATCTATTAACATCAGTTGTCACCAGCTCCTCATGGAGTACAGAAGAAGCTTTCACAGAGTCGCCATCACACAGAACGGTAGATATCTCTCTCAGTGCCAAGCAGGTCTAAAATTCCCAAGGCTGCTTATGTCAGGATGCCCACTGTTCCAAACACAGCACCTCCACACATTCAGGAAGATCCAACCTCTCCAAGCACTCCCAGAGCTCAGCTTCAACCTCCCTTAGCACAACAGCTAAGCACAAAGCTTGAATTCAGAAAATAGCAGAACCATCCTACGTTCTTTATGGAACACAGGGGATGTTCACCTTGCTCCTCTAGCCTAAACTTTGTTCTTCTCTATCGCGAAGGATTATTATTTGAAAAGCAATGGAAAATGGTGAAAAGGCTTGATATGTTTAACTAAATTAATACTCATAAAATGTTACAGTGGGAAAACAGGCAATTTAGAGAACATTGAAAACTGCATTTATTAACATCTCTCCAAATTTTTTTCTTCATTTCACGGCTGTTTCACCCATAAGTAAATTACTTTCAGTGTCTACTTTTTGAACTTCACAGCTGAAAGTGCTATGCTTTTCCTAACAGTGAGCACTTTTAAAGATATGACACAACTGCATTTTTAACTCAATTTATATACAAATAACATCATTCTTATAACAATGTACTTTATAAAACACAAAATATATCACAGCCTTGAACCTCCTGCTTGGGCTATGAAATGTTATAACAGTTTATTGATTTTATGTTCTTCATATTCATTCTGAAACCCACACAAGTGGTCCTTGCTTTTGCCTATACCAGGCAAACAGAGAATAACACCATTTTGAAGATTTTTCAATGTACATGGGTTATGATATTCTGAGGAAAATATTTCCTTCCCAACCCATTCTGATAGTTGCCTCCTAAAAATTATTGGATACTTCAGACCTAACGTTGTGCTCCCATCCATGCTCCAATGTCTTCTTGAAAATGTCCTCTCAAAGTCTTAAATAGTATTTCTGAGAAATAACTATCTGTGTCTCTTCAGTTCTCTAACACTTCTTATTTAATGGTGCCTTTAAAACTCAGAACTTTAATTAAGCCAGTGACTTTCCACCTTACAATTTAAAAGAAAAATATTTTCACCAAAGGTTGTCTATAAACATAAGATTAAAAAAAGAAACTTTCATTTTTAAGGAGAACTTACCCTTTTCATCATCATTGTATCTGCCCAGGTAAAGAGGAATTTCAGCCTGATACTGTGAACCAACCATTATTTCCTGAAGATTTAAAAACACACACACACACAAAAAAAAGCTTAAGATTTAATGCACTAAAACACTAAAAAAGCCATATAACTTGGCACTCATTATGGATTTCCAGAATTAATATGTACTATATATGCACTGTATTGTCCAGAACAATATGTACTCTCTCTATATATTTAATCATAAAATATTTTGACTTTTTTTTTGGTAGAAATAGTTATTACCTTTCTCAAATCTTCAGATGAATTGCCATTGTCTGCCTCAACATCTTCACCATCTGATTCCTTATCTCCATCACATGTAGTGTTTGCTTCAGACATATAAAGAAGTGGGTTTTTAGCTAGGAAGAATTTTCAAGCAATCACAGAACTACAAAAGAATTTTTAGGGTTTTGGGGGGGCGGGGTTTGTTTGTTTTACTTTTGAAAGGAGCACCTGCTTTTATGCATAGACACACCGATCCAGAATCCTCGGATTCTGTTCATCTACATTTTCATCAAACTACAGCAGTACTTTTTTACTTCGTGCTATTTACATACTGCAAAACTAAAACATTTATCATCACTGCACCTGAGTCTACTATATTTCTAATAGTCAAAAGAGACAACTTTTTTTCATGATTTTCCCCCTCAGTAAAAGCTTATACCTTACAGAAAAGATGCAAGACAACAGAATTGTAAGACCATGGCTATGATTTTGCCCCAGATAATCACAATGAAAGTTATGTTGAAAGCAAGTATCTATTGCCTAAGAAAACCTCTAATTAGAGACTTTAATAGACACTCAACATGAAGACACAGCATAGATATACAAAATGGATCATGTACAGCAACCTGCTTACTCCTCTCTACATTTTGTGTCTGTGTGTGTGTGTGTGTGTGAAGAAAACAGACCATTTTAAGTAACTTAAGGCAGTACTTCACTGAGTAGTATGTATTTTAGTCTCTGGAATGCTGCGATGTCAGGTTCTGAAGTTACCATTTTTTACAGATTTATAAGCCTCCATAAAATGAAATCTACAGTTCTGATAATATTGAAGTTCTTCTGCATTCTCAAACTTCAGTAATAAGACATGAATATGGCTGCAATTTTACAGCCTTCTCCCTTCTCCTTCATGAGAGACCAGAAGAGTCAACACCAGAAAAAATACTCTAGATTATGGGAACTGATGCTCTTCTGCTGTAATCATTCCTGCAATCACAGATCTACCTTTTTTTTTCTTTTTTTTTGTATCCCTCTCTATATATGAATGTGTTATACTACATAACCATCAGCATGGAAAGGACTGCAGCTGGAGATGACTCAGGTAGCATGTCCCTTCTGTCATCCCTCTTCTCTAGAAGGATGAGGAGCCAACAGAAATGGCCCAAGATACTTTTCAAGTTAAAACCATCAGGAAGTCCTGTTTATTACTCTAATTCCAGGACACCACTGACTTATGCAACTGCAATAGGCAACAAGGAATACCTGGCCCAAGCTGGATAACTGCACTCCTGGTTCTTAGATCTTGCCCATAATAGCTCCACGGGTGGTGAAACGTGGTCTTGGGTTCATGGGCCCAATCCCATAAAATACCACAATGAGGTCCAATAGAACGGTGTTGTATGTGTGAAGGGAAATAATAACACAGAGAAATCACAGCCCAATTCACGTCCTCAGACTGAATGGAAGAACCACTGGCTTAAAAATAGCAGCAATAGTTTTAGTAGAGGAACACTAACTTAAAAAAAGGGGTTACATATTCATGTTATTCAGTAACATACCAAAAATCATGGAGTGTGTCCCTCAAAACCACGCTAAATATTAATTATGTAAAGTTACTGTATTTGAGGAGATATTAATAACCACAGACAACATCCATGCAGAATATCATGCAAAGCACTCTTACTAAACTCTCAGAAAAGTCAGCAGCATTCTGTTTTTTCTACATTTTAAGTTAAAAATGTATACATGACTGTATTGAGTTCTATTATAACAAAAGGTTTCCTACATCGTAAGGGTCGAGGAAAGAAGTCTGTAGCCTCATGTGAAGTAACCGATGGCGTTAAGTCGTCAGCAGAAGACTGTGTTTCTTCATCATCACCCGACAAGAGGTCTTTGGCTATTTCCTCCTGTATCATTAAAAAAATAAAACAAAACAACAACAAAAACATTCAGAATTAGTATTAAGCATAAAATAGTGCATATTTCAATGAAGCAAATTTTAAGTCCCATTAATTAAAATCATTTTACCAAAACTAATTTTAGTCTGCACCCCCTGAATTAAAAAGCTAGTCTATTCCTCTTAAATCTGAAAAAAATATAGGCATTCATTTCAGAGTTAAACACAGGGGTTCTTCATTTTCTCCTCTCCTTTGTTAAAATAAAACATACAAGAAGCAATCTCTATAATCACCAGTCTCATGAGTTCCTCCAGTTGTCTCTAATGAAAAATGCCAATGGAAATTGCTTCAAAATGTAGACACCTGTCACACTTAGTGTCACAGAGCTATCTTAGCTGTAACATGGTGGTTGTACCTCTAAATTCTGGAAAAAAAAATAATTAACAACAAATAAAACTGCCAACACTAGCTGTAGTTGTTGTCTATGCAAATTTTTACAGGTAACAGACAACCTATTACCTTCCGAAAAACACACACACATACAGAAGAAGCTTCTGAAGACTTAAAAGAAAAATAATAAAAAAGAAAGAAAAAAGACACACTTCTTCCACTAGCTCATGTTTGAACCCCTCTGTACAGAGGTTAGGGAAGGAAAGAACTGCATTAGGCAACAAGTCGACTACATTTCTGTAGCCTCGACACAATTGTGAATCCTAATGAGAATCAGATGTGCAGAGCCATCATTATACTCTACTTCTGTGGCATTTACCATTACATCATACTTACAGAAAGAAAATATATATATGTATTTATTATCTACATATTTTATAACCCAAATTACTAGCTGTGTATGCTTATAGACAAAAATCAGATTAAAGTCTCAGAATTTAAAATCAACCTGCAAATCCATCTTCCCCTCAAAAAAAGAAATTTGAGGTTTTTACATCACCAATGCAATACATGCACTCATTGCAATAAAATAACCTCTCTTTTGTTCCTCAGCTTTCAAAACAATATGTATTGGAAAGGAACAACCCAAAGCATTCAAGGGTGCCTTTTCAAGGTACGTGCATATGTTCTCATGCATGAAATGAATACTGGAAGCCAAAACTATTATTACTTTTGAATTCTGTACACATTAAATAAGACACAGAACTTGCTCAGTAAAGTCCCATTTCTGTTTTTCAAAAGAAATATATTAAGCTACTTAGATGCACTTTGAAAGACTATAGTAATATAGCATAAATGCAGTTACGTATGTGTAAGTGTAATAAGTGTATTTAGACTCAGATTCTCAACGTGCTAGAAGAAGCATCCATTAAGAATATAGTAATACTCAGCTGTATATTAAAAGCGACAAAGATGTATGTATTTTGTAACATCAAGAGAGTGTGAAACATAATTTGATGCCACACGGGCTTCTGCTTTTAAAATGCAATACAGGGAAGAATGCTTCAGACTTACTTTATCTAGAGTCATATCTGGAAGTTCGTCTGCCAGTTCACTTGGAGAGCTATCTGCACTGGAAGCTGCCATAACTGGCATCGTAGGTTCGTAGCCATAGAATGCCAGTAAATCCTCCAGTGGCATGTTTCCTTCCTAATACAAGAGGATTTACAAATGTTTCAACGTTATGCCAAATAATTGTAAACTGTTCAGGCTTAAGAGAGTACGTGTTTTGAAAGACAGAAGTGAAAAACAAAGGAAAACCTAACAAAGTACAAAACCTCATTACAGTTTTTAACTGTTTTCAGGCACATGAATAAAATTACTCTTAAGCATGTATCTTGATAGTCCTGCTAGGCTACTTAAAGAAACCGTTAACTAGATAAAGAAATGAATAAGATTTTTTCAAAGCTAATCAATTATAGTCTGTTTATCTGATTTTTAATTTGAAAATTTGCTCATTATCTGATTCATGTTTACAGCATGAATGCTTTACCCGTGTTGCTTCAAGGCAAAAGATATGCAAACAGATAAATACCTTCAAGACGGAAAATAGAGAAGTATCACAACCCCTCTACAACCAAGAACTGCAAAAAAGCTTCAATATTTTACTCCTACATAGTAACAGTTGCAAGCGTGCATTCAAAAGAAAGCAACCCACTACAGGAACTTCTTAGTCCTCTTTTTCATCTCTTGTACAGCACATCTATATTGAGTGTTGGGAAGGTAACAGGTGAAAAACAGCTAATGATACAAAAGGTTAAAAGCAAGGGAGTTACTTTGCTTATAATTTGCTTTTCTGACAGTTTTTGATCAACCCCTTTTAATAAAGGTCACCATACTATATCTCTTACCACACAATAATAAAACAACAAACTCTGAAGATTTTTGGTTTACCTGATTCAAGCTACAAAAGAATTAGAAATATTTCCAATATTTATACCTTTAAAAGTTGTATTACCTTTAAAAAATTCTTGTTGAACTCATATACTGAATAAATTACTTGTTTTCTTTAATCAGCTAGGTCTTAGTCCTGCAAAGACTTTTCACAATGGGTAAACGTAAACTCATGTCCAAGTCTTTCCAGGATCGGGACCTAAAGCAATAAAGCGTTTAAGATGAGCGGCTCTCAGTTCTTTTTCCTCGTATTATTGACACAATTAGATCATTTTGTGGAGTAATAACTCCATTTTAATTGCTAGAGTTGGTAACCTGCTTCACAACTATAACTGCAAGCTCATACCAGCAAAAACGTAACTGCAAAGAGGAACGTACCAGGACAAAAATCTACTAGTATAAGCACTGTCAATCCCACATTTAGAACATATATTTTTTTTTACACTGAACACACAAACACAGCTTCAGATTTTATGCTAGAAATTACATCTCTCTGGAAGTTTCTTGACCAAAATCTGCAGTTAGGTCGAGTGATGCAAGTGGGTCATGGAACAGTAATGTAACTAACATCAACTTGTGGGTGTTTAGTCTTCAGCGGGTGTTTGAAGGGGAGATGCACTGGCATGGATGAACATTTCATGATTTTTTTACCATGAAAAACAAGTAGTTAAAGAGCATAAAACAGAACAGGAAAAGCCAAAGAGTATGTTGATCATCTTGTATACCCATCAAATGCCAAATTCATGAAACTGAGACTGAGAACCACCACTTGTGCAATTGAAAGTTATCTAACATGCTTAAAATAGGATCGTTTGTTTCTAAATTGGAAAAACAGAGCTCAAAAGCAGTCTTTCATGTACAAGCCATACAAACATTTAGGAGACGGTAAATCACTCCTACCTTTTCTAAATCTTCAATCTCAGAGCTGAAATTTTTGCTTTCTTCCATCATTTCTTCCTCTTCGAGAGTTCGTTCATCATCATAATCATGTACCAGCATTTCAGCAGAAGGGTCAAAGTCATGATCCTCAGAGGATAAAGAGCCAACTAGCAAAACAAACGAACAAACAAACAAACAAAAAAAAAACAAAAAACAAAAAACAACCCATAACTGATTTGAGTATTTTTTTTTCCTTAATCAATACATGAAAATGCATTGCAGTAAAAAATATGGTTACATGCATTCTTTTACATACAGGGCTGGGACTCTCAATGGAGTAATGACAAAATTCTGTCTACCTAACAACTACAGCTGTTTTTGGTGACCTTTCCCTTTTGTACTTGCAAGTAGCAAATAGGTACAACTTCCTTTCCTGCTGCATACCTACTTTGAAGACATTAGTATTGAAACAAAGTTTCAGAAAGTACCCCAAATCAAATTTTACTACGTAAGTGTCCAAATCATCACTAAGGTAAATATTATGAGCATATTAAACGCACCTTATAAATCAGAGACTGCGATTTGTAGCCTTTGATGATATTTATGTGATTTGAGGCTATGGTAGGTTCCACACCTTTCCACTGGTAAACATCTAATGGGTTATGAATCAGCTTCCTAATACCAACAAAATAATAGTGAGACTCACTATAGATTAAAATATCTCATTTGTGAAACTAAATTATTAAAACTAATTTAACCTGATCAAGAAGGAAAGGTTCTACTATGAACATAGTAGAATCTCAAATAGAGGAAAATGTAATAGCAATAACAAAACTCTGGTCATGGACCACAACAACTAACAAGTTATTGTTATAGCTGTGTAGTCCAATGCTTTTTCATTACTCAAAAGGCTATTCAAAAAAAATGTGTTCAAAGTGTTGCTCTTATTTTAAGAGCATTTTATCACCCGTCAGAAAAATTATCACTACATTCTACAACTTTTAAAGATGCAAATATTTTGCACATCAAAGTCAATGTTCTCAAGTGAAAATTAGCAAAATAACAGTGTTGTTTTGGTCTTTCATGTTCACTTTCTTATGACTTTCAGGATGGAGGAAAAAAAAAAAACAGATTAGGATATTTCACTCTCACTTCTGGTTTCCCTTTCCTAGTTCTTACATAACAGTGCTCTGTACAATGTTTGGCTTACAAGCAGCAAAAAAAGGATTATTAAGTGAGATCTTCTGAGCATCAATGAAATATCTACAAAGTTCCTTCTCCTAAAAAAAGAAAAAAAAAAAAAAAGGTAGTATCCTTCTTCACATATTCCTGTATTTTGAAGAGACATTTACATACAGTAACACTTATGAGTCTTAAAATTCATTTTTAGGAATTATTCTAAGTGCATCCCTTACATGCAAGAAACAAAGGTAAACTTTGTCCATTTACCTTGATTAAAACAATACTGTGAAAGCTCACAGTACCACAGGAAAACACTCAGGCCAAGAACGTTTTCTATTCACATGCTGTTCACATTATACCTCCACAGAGCTCGCTCTCAACCTAACTGATAATACTTCTGCAATTACAATTACACTTACGTGTTGCATTTTTCTAGTGTTAGACATTATATCCTGACCCTACAGCTTTTAAACAATTATCAACTGTTTTAGAGTAGTCTTTTGCATGTGTACGTACATACACGTATTAATGGTTAAGATTACTGCTAAACACTGTGTCTAGTATTCCAGACTAGTACTAGGCTGCGTGCACATGTGTGTGTATACAAATATACATAAACAAAATTATCAGGAAGTCAGAATTTTACACGAGCCTCTAAGATATCAGTGAGAAGATGCCTCTCTCCAACCTGTATGGCTGTACTGAGATACTGACTTAGAAGCGCTATAAAAACTTTGCTCTTATGTATACGGTTTCAAGCAACGGGAGCCAGTGGCAGAACTCCTTGCTGTGCAGCTCTCCCTTTTTAAGATCCCGGGCAGCCTGGCATTAGTTCCGTGAACATGAAGCGCATAAAAAACTCTGAGGCGGCAGGGGAGAACTCTGCAAAGGAGCAAGCGGCGTATGGAGGTGCCGGGCAGCGGCGGGAAGGACCAACCTGGGCTCGAGCTCCCGAAGGACGCCTGCAAGGAAGCGCACACACACGAGTGAGTGACG